GAATCTATAATAACAAATTCAACATGCTAGCATTGTTTAAGTGTATATCCTATACATCCTTAATAAGAATCATCGTACTTTTCAATTAAAGCGTCGGAAATTGGAGTACCTGAAGTAATCTTCGTTCAGGGACGAGGTGCTCGAAGTTCAACAACGTTTCGACACGAGGTACCAGACTGACAGCATCTCGCAGCAAATTCAGTAACGTCGAGAACGTTTCTACGAAGACATTGAATGGTGGATCGAACGTCACGATCGCGTTGCGTACCGTCACCTTAATGTCAAAACCGCAACATGTACGCTACGGATGACAATAAAATACAAAAGCTGTAGAGAAACTTACTTGGCTCGTTAGATTCTCTTATCTCGTCTTCGTTCGGCAGCAAGCAGAAAATAACTGATCACTCACGCTTTTGTGGCAAAGGAAATCGATGTACTTCTCCATCGCTCGTAGGCAAACTTTTCGCAATTGATTCTCCATTATGAAGCCCAGGCAATTGAAGAAACGTCGGCATCGAGCAACGTCGCTCGTCGGTGGCACCTCGCCTCTCTCCGATGCCTACATACACATTTATCAAATATTTAATACCAACAAAATTATGGCATTAAGTGCGTGTCGAGATTTCTCTTCTAAATTAAAAATTATTATAATTCTTTTATGAATTATTATTTGCTAATGTGGCTTCAAATGCAACGCAGAGTCATGCTGTTTCGTACCATAGTTAAGAGGGACTGAACTTTCGGTACCCAATGTTTCATCAGTTCTTCCTTAGTTTTCGAGCACATTTTTACAATGGTCCTCTCGAAAATCGCCAAACTGTACGACGTTTCGCACGCCAACAACTCTTGTTCGTCTATCAGTTTGCTGCGTCTGTTACATCAAATGTACATACGTATTTCTATTCAAATATGCAGTGAAGTCTATAGTCTGATTCTATGGGTGTTTCTGAACAATAATTTCCTTTGGCAAAATGCGAAGTGAACTATGGTTTTTGAATTATTAACGAACAATACTGGCTAATAAATGTAGGGCCGAGTTGAGCCATGGCAGTGGTGGCTCGGATCGTGGCACTCTGTCATTGGTCAGCGCAGGCCTTACGCGCATTCTCATTGGTCAGTGTTTTTCGTTAATAATTCAAAAACCACACCTCACTTTGCACTTTGCCAAACGAAATTATTGTTCAGAAACACCTACAGGATCATCACTTTTCGGCTCTAACACTTTCTCTGTACAGTCTTTATATGACAGACCTGCATATGTACAAATATTTATAGAATATATCTACGGAAAAACTAATAACACCAGAATATGCCCCACTCGATACCATTTAAGTTTCCTATAAAACATTTTTCACTACATGCCACAATACCGAAGTTATCAAGATATTAAAATCGACTGAGATACCCTGACTCCACTGCACATGTACAGACTCACATACTCTATAAATATTTGTACATATTTCAAAATTGAACAATTTTAATTTTTTTAATCTTGAATTGTGTACGAATGTGTATGGATTGTAACTAAAAATTATTTTGCTCGACACAATAATTAATCCCTTTTAATACAAAATTGTGGGGGGATGGGGGGATGAAAGGGAATGTGAATTTTTTAACAAACCCGTATTCCTGATGCCAGCAATCGACGATCCGCCGTATCAGAGGGCAGTACAACAGGACTCTTTTCTCGAGTTTTAATATTTTCATTTCATGGTTGAGCTTATGCTCGCGCGAGAACTGTACTCCTTTGAACTGTTTACCTTCCTCATCAGCGACAAGCTAAAAATAACGTTCCAAAGTAATTGCGAATTAATAATTAAAGTCAACGCTAGAACTACCAAAAAGGACTGGTTTTTTAACACTAGAAAGACTGAAACTTACAATTAATATATACCTATATTGCCCAAAAGCAGTAAAAATGACTGCATTGTGAAAGAATAATGTGTAAAGAAATTTGTCTAAAATTAATTTTTAATATTTTTTATATTATTTACAGTCATATAACAAGTTATTAGTAAATGTTAACAATAAAAAAAATTTACTTCACTTGGGAAAAAAAAATAATTTATGCATTATTATTTGTACATTTGCCCAAAAGCAGTCAAAATGACTTCCTTGGGCAATCTAGTGTTAATGAAGAATAGAAAGAAGTATAGTGTTAACAGGCATACTTGATGTAACGCAGAGTACGCCTTGTTACCAACGACGAATTCTATCACCGATTTCTTTATATTAAGAACATACTCCTCCTTCACTTCCTCGATCAAATGTTTCAACACTTCGTGAAACTTCTTTTGCCATTTACTTGGAACGCGTTTCAAGATGTTCTCCAACAAATCAGGATGCATCGTTCCGACATAAGTGTCGTCGATGCCACGAGTTAAATAATAATAATACCGTAAAACATCTTCGTCGCCCTCGACAAACAGACCACCGTCGCCCTCCCCTAATTCCCGCATGCATTTCCCTATTCTCTGAAACGCCTTCTCTTCATCTTTTTGCTTCTTCTTCTTTATCAGATCGATGAGTCGCGCACGGAAATTTTCTCTCTCTTGACACAACTCCAAATATTTATACATCTTTCAAATTTACCACTGTTCCATTTAGCTAGAAATGCTCTCGTATTTATTATAATACTTTGAACGTGATCATGTTTGCTTTTTCAATACCTGTTTGCTAACCTGGAGTATGATTCCATGGCAACCGAGTCGTCGTACAACGAGCTTCCTTATTTTCGGTGGAGGATAATAAACGTGAAGTAAGACATATAATATATTAAGGTTGTATAAACA